GCTTACAATGATCATGAACAGACGGACAAGGTGCTTCCTATATACCCCCCAAAATTTCGTTTGTAGGAATATACAACCTACAAGTAGGCAGTGATAGATATATACCACTAACTCGGAACACCCTGACCGCATTGGTCGACTGATCAGTGCTTTAATTTGTATTCCTATATCAGTCAGTAATCCATTGAGAAAACACGGTCTCTGTACGCGAGTAGACGGTTAACGTTTCGGTTGATCGGTTGACCCCGGATAACCAATCAATTAATCTACGATGCTTCTAACCGTACTTCCGGCCCCGGAGACCGAGCTGATACATTTCTCCTGACAAGTCAATATGAGTTAAGACCTCCTAGGAACTGTCTCCATTAATATAACAAGATTACATGAGGCATATCTTAATCACCCAGTTCAATTGTGTGACCGAAATTTCATGCCAATCTGACATTCGAAGTTCCTCGGGAATTATCCTTGTCTGCTATTCCTGACTGTTATTTGCCACATACTGTTTACTAGAGCTGAATGGTCAATAACAGCTTTATAAATATAATCCTTTTGTAAAGGAGTACATTAACAGAATGATATATTTATCAATTATGAACTTTTGTCGAGGTCGAAACGTTGTTATATGAACCTGATAGAATTATATCAATCGAACACGCAATCAAAAGTCCAAAATTGTGATTATACAGATCATGTCATTAGACAGTATGAAATATTAGATAACAAAATATTGGGACTCGCTGGAATTGCTTTCGGAACGAAATATCCGGATCAAAATGTAGGAACGTGATGTCAATGTGCTATATACTTGCGAACCTGAGACCAAGGATTAGCCAATCAGAATCAAGGAAAATCAAACCATATTTAATACTTTAGAGTACACACGACTGTCAACATGTTTTCTCTCTCTCAATATACATTCACATTCAAAAATACTTTTTCTATGTGTCTTCGGTTCGTTGATGTTATGTACACGGACAAATAATGTATATATTTTCCCACCGCCGGGCTCCATCCAGCGGTTTTCATCTTACTATTACCCTCTTAATATGTTTCTGTTGTTGATACGTTGCTTATTTCTTCCAATTTTCACTCTCAAACATACAATATCCTTTTCCATCAGTTTCCTATACCCGATGTCATTTTATTTTTTATAATTTTCCAATCCCTATAAGTTCAAAATTTCATTATAAGAGTTAGTCACATGGCAAAAAAACCACCCAACTATTTACTTTTCTACATGACTCTAATGCTCTTCCGTAATTTTCGTAAGCGAATGAAAATATACTTATTTAAATGACAACAAACGGACAACTCTGCAGGTTGGGGGCGGTGGAAATTGTATCGTAAGATGCTACTAATGCGGGAAACCCCTGCAGAATTGAGGATTTGCTTTTGAGCCCTCTACTTGGTGACACAAAAGTAACCAAAATAAATCTGCTGCACCCAGTGCATAATTTGGGATCTTTATATATTCCTAGTGCCTTGCTTTACAATGCTTCACTTTTGGCTTTAATATGAAACGGTCGCCCTGGTGAGTTGGACAATGGGCTCCGTCCCCAGGCCGGGACAAACTAAAGTCCCTTAACATGGTAGTTGTTATTCCCTACTTTGCGTCCAGCATTTAGGGTAATGGCAACAACTGGTTAATCCGTTGTCTGTATAATGTGACTGGGTGGAATACTGTGCTGGGTGCATTAGGCATGGTATTTCAGTGAGATAGCACTATGAATCTGTATCAGATCCCCGCTTTCACAAGGAGGCAAGTAGACCAACACACCCATAGGGTATATAGGGTTTGGATGGATTTTTTTCATGTACATTGCGGCAATGAATAGCAGTAGCTGATCTACATATCCTGTGGAGCGCGTTAGCACTCCTCAGAAGATATGTAGATCAGCTACTGCTATGAAAAATATTCCATTCAATTCAAATATTAACGTTACGATGAACTACAATAAATAAAGTTACAATTCTTTTTGCAGATTTAATATTTTTGATATTAGTATCGGTCAAAAAAACATAAAAAGGAACAGCCAGAACTCCAGCCTACACACACACTTCAAATGTTCGACTTCCGCAGATCAGCTGATTTTGTTGAAACGGAAATATATATCTAGAATCTAAAAACAACCAACACCTGATATTCCATTCATTTTTGAAAGATGATCTTATTTGATTTTTTTTCGCATTAACACCGTATATTATATAATTTGAAAAGTTTATGTCTGCAGTATTTCAAATCATCACTCACTATAGTAACCAACCAGGGCACTCGTCAGCCGAGCACCCGTCGGCAGTAGGCATAGAGCTCATTTGAAGTTAAATGTACAGCCGTTGAATGTACAGTTTACCAAAAAACCTGCATATGTAAATGATGATAATAAGTTCGTGACCACGAGGAACCGATTGTGAGTCGGAGGTCAGTATTTAATATGACAATGTTATAAGTATGTTTTTTAGTTTTTAATTAGAAAGAATAATAATAATAGTACAATGGTGGACCATTCATGATTTTTGTAATGTTTATTATTATTTTTCGCAACTACGTTATCACGGAGGAGGAGAGATAACTATTCTCAGAAACGGTATTATGCGTAGTAATATGAAGTGGTCATTGTGTGTGAAATCAGCTGACTGGTTGCACGAGAATTGTTGTATTCATAGTCTAAAGGCAGTTGTTTTCAGTTGGTAGATTCATATACAGTACCAACACACAACACACATGGGGTCACGTCCTTGAATGTCCTTAGCTGCTGATAGGGCTTTAAACCCGTTCACCAAACCAGTCAACAAGAAACGGGGACTGATAATAACACACGTACGGCTGATTATCCTATTACCAATTAATTGGCAAGGTGAGACATTGTTTTTTAGTACATCACAATCACTGACCGGGGAATAGCCTGCGCAACGCGCAGATCAAAGACGAACGTAGAAGCATTCAAAAAATATTACGATCATTATCTTTCTATCGACCCTGATAAATATGGCAGTAAAAGTGTTTGTCTGAATAGTCAACAAATAACTAGATGTACATAAGGTTCATTAGCGTATCTCATAACACTGAATTTGGTTTTGTAAATGAAATAATTTGATTGGCCGATATGCTTTTCACTCATTGATGGCAAAACAATATCAAGGTCAAATAATTGATCAAATCTCTTTGCATAGGTATACCATTAATATACGTTGAGTATGAGTGATACATACTGTACTGTCGACCAACTCAGCGCTTGAACTGCTTCTCTTAGAATGTTAAAATGTAGCATTTCATTTTTTTTACATCAATGTCCTCATTGAAATCATAAACTGTCCATTGGTTTCTAGGGGCATTATAGCGCGATGATGTACCTTAGCCAATTGATCTAAACGCCAAAGGTTCGAACCCTCACCTGTGTTCTTTGCGATGTCCCACTGTACTGTGCCCCCCCCCCCCCCCCCCCCCCCCCCCCCCCCCCCGTACACTCTCATTACGTTTTGATACAGCTATAGCACAGTTTTGCGAGGATACTCCCGTTGTCGAGATGGCTCAGTCGGTTAGAGCAATAGTTTAACAACCTAGAGTCAATAGTTCCGAAGCCCGTCTAGCTCCGCTTATTGTTTTTATACTAGGAACAGTTTTGTTGATTATATTTTGTTTATTTCGTTTTTTTTTTTTTAATTTTCACAAACGTGTCGCAAGGTATGGTTTTCTTTTCAGAAATGATTTACCGCAGCTATTGTTTTGGCAGTGGTTCGGACATCCTTAACGTCCTATCACCTTTCATAATACACATGTTTATTCTTGTCGTATGTTTGTGTCGTCACATCTGTATTGCGTATTGGACATTTTTTGGCGTAGCGTAAAATATATTAACACCACCCATTGCGTGGCGATGTCATCAAACCTGCCCCTGTCTACAAGATCGTAAAAAGTGACAAAAATCAAGTTAAAGACCTATAGTACAAGTAGTCCTACATTACTGCTAGTTGTTTTATGCCAATATATGGTAACCTTCTCTTCATGGGACTCTGTGATCGAAATAAGTGTTTTTACATCGATACTTTTCTATTTAAACTATTGTCATTATCATCGGTAAGAATTTGGTCATATTACAAAACATATATTAACCGGTATCGTCTGCGGCCATCCATGACTCCCTATTTCCGCCCGTTCTCTGATCAGTCAAAGTCATTGTACTTTTCAGCTTTATCAGTGCACGGGCACTTGCGTTCAGCAATTAAGAGAGAGAGAGAGAGAGAGAGAGAGAGAGAGAGAGAGAGAGAGAGAGAGAGAAAAAAACCTAACTAAACAAAGGACAATTCCGGAACCTGGTCATCCTATATAGAAGCCGACCAGTTCCCAGAACTGTGTTTGTGTTGTTTATCTGCTAAACTCAAGTGCATGTTGTGATACTGAGTAGGTAAAACGTTTCGTTTTTGAAAGAAAGAGAGGGTTTGGTAATTGTTTAATTAGGTTTTTGAATTATTCTACATATTCTGCAACTTAAAGCTGTATTTGGAACTATTTACGTTCGCATGTAACGTTGATATGGAAAACCCCCTAATATTATATACTTATATACAATACATACCTTTATATAGATAAACAAAACAATAGTGTATACTTATATACAATAAATACCTTTATATGGATAAACAAAACAATAGTATATACTTATATACAATACATACCTTTATATAGATAAACAAAACAATAGTGTATACTTATATACAATACGTACCTTTATATAGATAAACAAAACAATAGTGTATACTTACAGACCCGTACACGTTCGCTGTTCCACCTTGGACGCAAACGGTACGGAAATGCTACGCAAACGGTACGCTGAAAGAAGAACAGCGAACGTGTACGGGTCTGTATATACAATACATACCTTTATATAGATAAACAAAACAATAGTATATACTTATATACAATACATACCTTTATATAGATAAACAAAACAATAGTGTATACTTATATACAATACATACCTGTATATAGATAAACCTACCTGCACAGGCGAGGTTGGCGATAAACATGTTCATTCGAGATTTAATCTTCCTGGACATAAAAATGAGGAATAACACCAAGGCATTCGTTGTCATGGTTACCAGAAACAGGACGCACATGAACGCTACTTGAGCAGTCTGGAAGAAATAAAAACAAATAGGTTCATCAATAATAATGAAATAGATAATAAAGAATTATTATTGTAAATTAATTATCTATGTGTTTTTATTTGCAGAACATAACAAATAGAGAAATAAATCATCACGAGACAGATTTCACACCATCAAGTGTAAAAAATGGAAAACATAAATAATGTAAATAAATGGTAAAAAGAAGATTGGCTCTAATCATTCGTATGATGGGCGGAATGGCAGTTTACACCGGGCTAATTTCGGGATTACAGCGGGCGACCGGTACCTATTGCAGACCCCTGGTCCCGTGACTTTTGAGACCGGGACTTAAGCTTGCTGTGTTTCCACCCTAAAACACACAGTATCACATCAGCCTATTCCCTACATTCGCTACTATAAACACCCCTACGGAGTTCACAACAATATATTTCCCACTTTATGCCCCTGTCACTATAGTTAACCCTACCTGGTTCAGATTGCATTCATATCACCAATGAACACGATTACCCAGCTGCCCACTGGTTGTTGATTTCATCGTGATAATTTTAAGGCGGGCACAAGAGGTCTTCGAGTGTAACTGTTCTATTTAATCTCTCAACCCCCTTGGGGTAAGATTAATAGAATCTTCCCCTACCTTGAGGGTGTGACAGAGAAATCTCCAAACCGAGGGGTGATGTTTTTTGGTTGTCTAGCCTAACCATAAAATCAGCCAAGGGTTGGAGATTTCTCTGCTATACCCTCAAAGTAGGGGATGATTATTTTTCTCCAAACCTATTATTTCAGTTACAGCTCCACCGACAGTAGTCTGTCATGTTTGTAAACAAAAACACATGTGGGGTATGCATATCGTCATTCACTTTTGATGACGTCACAATTAACGATGACGCATTTTAATTGAACACGTGCTAATCGGCACGAAGCTATCTCCCCCTAGGGGTTGACTAATAGAATCTTCCCCCCCCCCTCTTGGTGGTGAGATAGGAGAATATCAACCCGAGGGGGAGGTCTTAAGTTGCCAAACACGAGGCTTTGCCGAGTGTTTGGCAACTAAAGAATCTTTCCCCGAGGGTTGAGATTCCAAGGGGGTGAATGATTCTTTTTCTCTTACCTTGTTCTTTCATTGTGTATCATATGCGCAATGTAATGATAACGTTACATGCTAAATTCAGGGTTGACATGACGTTGATGGATTGTTGACGTGACGTCATTGTATTGTTAAAGTGACGGCATGCCATTGTTAGGAATAGGGGAATCCCCCGTCTCAACCCTAGGGTGAGACAAGGAAATCTCACACCGTTAAAAGTGCGGATACACATGTCCAGGGTAAGAGAAAAGCTGATCTTTTCCGGCTAAAACGGGAGACACGCCTGTGAAGGGTGAGAGAAAGGGGAATCTCAACCAGAAGAGGGATTCTTAAGTAATTCTTAAGGGATTCTCGGCAAAGCCTCATGTTTGGCAACTTAAGAATCTTTCCTTGAGTGTTCAGATTTCCCTATCTCACCCTCAATGGGGTGATTGATATTTTTTCTCTTATCCTATCTATCCATTATGTAGCATACACAGAAAGTAATAATAATGTTACAGGCCAAAATCACGGTTGACTTATCGTTGATGGATTGTTGACATGACGTCATCGTTTTGTTGACGTGACGTCATGCCATTGTCATGAATAGGGGAATCCCCCCGTCTCAACCCTAGGGTGAGACTAATAAACTATTTTTACCTGTAACTGAGCGAGATCGGGTTATCTCAGTCGAGGGTTAAGATTCTGTAACAAAATCCAAACCGAGGCGTAAGCCGAGGTTGGGATGTTACAGATTCTTAGCCCGAGACTGAGATAACCCGATCTCGCTCAGTTACAGGTAATTGATTTTTTTCTCTCGCACTTTTTAGTTCAAAATGAACCATTCAATTTTGCTAAAAACTACAGGTATCGCCTTGTGCCTCAAATGAAAATGACCTCTTAACTACTAACGCTATATTTGAATGCTACCGGGTAAAAATGTAGTCCGTCCTTACATAGATTAAAACGTATTTCACAGTGTAGATTATAGTTTTTCTACAAAATCAAATATCTAACAACATTAAAACTATACATATGACGACAAACCAGGACATTTATAATGCAAATTGTCAATTTAAAGCAGTTAACGCGCGGATGAATACATCGTAGTGTAAAATTTCCGCGAAATGTCAAGTAAAGGTACAAGACAAATCGGACGAGATAGCAAAATCTAGCATGGGGTATGACGTAGGATATCTCTGTCTGAGGTGCGAAAAATATATCATCCTCGTGGTGATCTGTTTTTTATTGTTTAACCCTCGGCAAAGCCTCGGTTTAGATAATAAAAAACAACCTCCCTCAATTTACTGCTGAGATATTCTTCAAGTGGTGTCATGTGCAATAATTTTAAGGAGTTAGAGTGTTCATCAGTTGATTCTGAATATTTTCCATTTGCATACCTCATCATATTTTCATGCTTTTGTGTAAATACAGTTTTAACTAACTGCTTATTTACAAGACTAGGATCCGTCAATTGTAAAATAAACACGATTTAGCATCATCATCAATGAGGTATGATCACGCCGACGTTGTAACCCCACTTTTTATAAATGGTATGGCATGTATATAACACTTACATTATGTAATATTGTTTATAAAATTAGGGATTTTACACAACTAAACTACATGAATATGACTCATTGAATTATGCAACATAGAATTTACAAGCGGTTCGCTGATATTCAGATCTCCGTTTAAATGTAGCTATTTATAAATTATATTTGCATGGTTGTTTTCACACTAAATCTACACTAAGTTCGCCAAACATATAAACATGCATTTTTGTCATCTTTCTTGAATATGGAAAGGGTTTTCGAATTTCTGGTAGCGGATAGAAAACTATTCCATAAAATGAGTGCGACCTCTCCAAAACTCACAGTACGATGTTTTAACATGGGTTCTGCCTCCAACGACATTGGTCATGGCGGCAAATAAAAGTTGTCAAGCTCCTGTAATTACAGTTGAGGTGTTGTATTTAGTGCCGTGTAAGTGTACATCAAAATTTTGTACTTCAGCCTGCATCTTAATGTTTCCAACAGAGTAAATATAACCCTGATATGATGGGCTCTCTCTTTTGAATACAGGAAAAAAATGTGCTGTAGTGTTCCTGGCCATAGTTAAAGCTTTAAGAGTTACCAATGAGCAAGGCATTGCCATAGTCACAACAATAATAATTCGAGGTTCTTATTTACCGCTTTATCACAACCTAGTTCGAAAGTCATCTCAAAGCGAATCACAAATTATTATCAGTGGTTATAGGGCCTTTGGAACCAGCCAATATTTTTCTCAACTCCCAGGGGAGCATACAGCCGTTATTGCCATTTCGGCACTCACAGCTAGCATTCAGGAATTCTAGCTCTGCCCAACCACGTACTCATTTACAGCTGAGTAGACTGGAATAATCGGAGTAAAGTATCTTGCTCAAAGGTACAACACAGTGCCGTGCCATGGCTCGAACCGGCAATCGTTTGGTCACGAGCCCGGCGTCCTAACACTAGAATACAGTGCCTCTTATATTTTGCAATATCAGGGGGAATACTCTAATATGGAGTTGATTATGGGAATGCGAAAGGAATCTTTTGTTTTTTAGTGTTCAGTGAACCATCGACGTATACCCCTAAATGTTTTTACAGCCGGAACAACCTCAATAGTGTTGCCGATGATTTTTTTTACAAGATATCAGAATTTTGATAGCGAAATTATCCTTTATTCTGTATCTTGTCAAAAGGCTATAACGAACACTTACACAAACATTAAGGTTATCAAAGAACTAAGAACAATGTTGCTAGAGGCATGAAGATTTTTAACAAACGCTCAAAACAAATTTCTATCAAACTGAAACTATTTGTCTCCAAAATAATAACGGGGTTATCAAGTATCCAAAATTATTTCACATCCAAAAAGTGTTAAATATTTTTGTTTCCTATACTTCAAATTATTTCCACACCAAACTACATGTTTCCAAAGAGCGGAGATCTGACTAACCTCACGAGAGACAAGCCCATTGTCTATGACAACGTGGTAACAGATCTAGGCCAGCAGTATTCCGTCTGTTCGTATTCCAGAGTTATCTGCTCTTGTGAGTAGGTATTGATTGTTACGTCATTTGTTTGTGAGAGTAACGTCATCAATATTTGAGAAAACGACGTAATTTTCTCACACAAACCAATGACGTAACAATCAATACCTGCTCACAACAGAAGATAATTCTACAATACGCAAAGACGGAATAACCGTTTGACGGATTTATTTTACTGTGACATCAGCGGTGTTTACGTGTTCCACGTGCGCATCTTGTCGGAACATGATAAATCGCAGTCTGATTAAAATCATCTGTTACATGGCTCCGCTTGAACATCTGAATGTCATGGTTGATAAATAAATAGCGAGGGGTATCGAACATATTAGTTTTCCAAACCAAATATGGCGGCGGGAACTGACGTTTCTACGACGCCAAGGAAAACGTACCCGTTGGGTAATAATTGCGTAGGCAACACCACCATACAGTCTTTCTTCTCTAATAAAGCTTCGAATTTTTTTTCTGTTCGGGTTTCAGGCGATCAATCTCAAATAACTTCAGAACTTTCGCATCATTCTCATCAATGTCCGACATATTTGTTACAACTCCGAGCGACCTTTTGAAAGAGGGTCTCTGATTGGTCAAATTTTTATGAGTATTTATAAATATAAAGTTCACCTGAACGTGACCCTGACCTCGGCACACTCAGATGTTCAGGCTTAGTACGAAGTTAACGAAGCCATGTAACATACGATTTTAATCAGATTGATAAAAACGTAAACGCCCGGCTCGTGCTGAATGGAGTGGACGTCGCTGACGTGTTTTCAGGTGGCAAGGCGGGACGCACGACCAAAAAGGGAGTACAGCGATCCTAGAGATGGACGTCGGTGACGCTGTATGGGTCAAGTCCATCACGGGCACATG